TATAATTCACATGGCTTCAAAATCGGGTAAGGGTAACTATTCTAGAGGGGCTGTGCCGACTCTTAAAATAACAATCTATAAAAAAAAGACAGATAGTAAAATAAAATAAAAGAAAAATAAGATATCAATATAAAAAAATAACATAAAAAAAAATAGAGGACCTGGGTGCCCTTTACAGTATTTATCTTTTTCAATTCAAATTCCATTTTGATAACAGTAATATTGTATTATTGAGACTTGTATTTATTTCTGAGACTCTCACAAGAGCTCAAAATTTAAGGAGAGAAGTGTTATATTAAAAATTTCTGTGTCTAATATTTTTATTTATTAGTTAGCCCTACAATATTATAATTCGATTGTTCTTCTGATTTTCTTTGAAACCTTTAACTAATCATTGTTTATCTGTTCCTTAAATTATAATATTTATACTCATCTACAATATTATTATATTTAGTTATTCCTTCTTCTTTAATTGTCTTTTTATTGTCCCACCTTATTTCTATTTTTGTTATTTGCCCCTTTCTTATTTGTTTCCTTATACTCTTACCTGATATTACTATATATAGCTATTTATTGTTATATTATATCCAATATCCAAATTAGGCCATGTAGGTAATTTAGTCTAACATATGGACAATTATTTCTCTGAGATTAATAACTTAAGTGTAACTCTTGATTTGGATCTTGATACATTAGAAGTCTTATTGGTGTTAGTTGTAAATAGAGATTAGTAATGCGATACAATAGAATAAATAAGAATAATCTGTATTGTATAATTAGAAATTATAGTTAGCTAACATGTATATAAACCCAATATTTCACCTTTTTGTAAAAGTAGGCTTTCTATCTCAAGGTTGTCTTGTTTGAGGTTTTTGTATTAAGTAGACATTTCTTATAAATATATAAAAAATTTATTGTCTTGTTATGCTTTATGCAGTTTAGAGTTTAGTTGAATTTATTTATAGTTTTATTTTGTTTATATTTTTTTCTTGTTTTATTTTATTTTATACATTCACCACCCAACCTGCTATATTATACATTCGTTTACTACCCTGATCTATCTTGGCACTACCCTATTTGACACTCTCCCAAATTCGGATAGTAACACTAGTTTGATTTTTACCTAACTTTGAGTGAAAATATCTCCATAACTATCTAACCAAACTCGGTAAAAATTTTTTTATTTGAATTCTATGTATCTATGGAAGTTAAATATAAAAAAATTTATAGAATTTGGTTAGGTGAGTATGGAGATATCCTCACTCAAATTTTTTTAAAAATTGGCACAGCTTCTATTTTTGATAGCCAGTTTGATTTTTCTTTAACTTTGAGCAAAGATATCTCTATGATCATCTAATCACATTTGATGAGTTTTCTTTTATTTGACTTCTATGGATTAATACAATTAAAATAAAAAAAAATTCATAGAATTTGGTTAGGCATTTGTGGAGATATTTTTGCTCAAGTTTTTAAAAAATTGTCAGTTTGGAAGCTACATTGGAAGTAATCTTTGGTCACAAGTACCCTAGCTATAGCAAAAATGAGGTGTTGGGTCATATGATCTCTGACCATTCCGACCATTCCAACCCAACACTTGCCTGATATTCACTACAGCCAATCAAATTTATATGTTTATAAGAAACGCAAACCATGTAAATTTTTCTTTAATTATATAAATTATATTTTTTATGCTAAATTAGATATGTTCTATAGTATTTTAAATGTTTCAAATTTTAATAAAACCTATAATCAAGTTATTTCATACAGTAATTTAATAAATTAAATATATATTTTATTTAATATTCGTTCTGACAAATAAATTAAATCAAATATCGCTAGCTCTAGAATTTTAGGATCAAGATTATACTATAAATCAAATAATATTGACTTAAACCAACTATCATATAGATCTTTACCAAATAATGATCTGATAAGCCATGATGCATGTAATCGTGATAAAACTAAAATTGAGTGAAATATGTATAATCAGAAGACCAGTGTATAACCAAATTGAAAATAGTCTATGATTGAAAAGCCCAGGTTTCATAGTAGCAGAATGAAATAATGAATTAGAGGTTTTATGCTAATTAAAAGTCCAGGTTTTAGTAGCAATCAAAAAGCCCAGGTTTTAGAATAGCAATAGTTAATAGAAAAACTCATCTGCTAAATCTAAGAATAACCGAAAGTGGGAAAATAGTATCATAAAATTATAATCTTAAAAATATATAAAGTTGATCACATAAAATATTGAATAAAAATACATATCTTCTATAAACTAATACTTGCTTATCATCTCACACCTCTTTGAAAATGCCTTAATGAGGTGGAATAGTTGTTGACTGTTTTAATATATAATTAAAACTCTTTTTATATAAATTAAAATTTTAAATTGCAAAATTTACTTTTATCTAAACAAAAATACAAAATAAGCGACAAAATCTGCAAAGGTTTAATTTAATTACTTAGATTCACATAACAATTAATTATATTGTAAAAATATTTACCTTTATTTTTTAATAGAATCAATAGAAATTTCTAAACCTAAATTGTGTACTAGCTGCCATACTACAAAAAAAGTAATTGATTTCATTCGTGATCTTGGAAATGGGCCAAATGAAAAGGAAACCTGTAATAGGTGCTATGAAAGACATAAGAATAAGAAGAAAAAACAAGATTTAAATCTGATATTAGCAAAAAAAACAAAGCTTCTAAAAACAAAACTTAGTACTAGAACTGCAAGTAGCATTTTAAGTACTAATTTTGAAGATAATAATCTTGAAGTTTCAGAACTATTCTCTGTGCAAGAAATTTTCGAAGAAGATATAATTAATATATTTTAAATGAATAATGAAAATAATCGCTATGACAATGATGATAGTGGGTTTCTTTATAGTGTTGATGAAATAGAAGAGCAGGTTAGTACAAGTTTTCAAATTTTAGAAAATTGCAATGATGAACCTGTAAAATTCGCATTTGAAATTGAATTGAATACAAACCTTTCAGAATATATTAACTGTGATCTTAAATCTGAATTACTTGATTTAGAAGAAATAAAAAACCAATTCTGTCAATTATCAAAAATCATTATCATTGCTATCAAATCTGGATCTAAATATTATTGGGAGATATGCAAATTATATTAAAGAAAAGTTTACTGGATGTGCAACAGTTTACCTTAGATGTACACAAAGAGAAGATTGCCAATGGCAAAGGTCTAAGAATCAGCCAGTAAAATGAAAAAGTAAAGCTCAGGTTCCAATAGAAAGATATTTTTGTAAAAGAAATATTTCACTTATAATTGATTCCCAACTATGGCATATTCTAATTCAAGAAAAGCATTTAAAAAGACATCCACATCCAACCTATAGAAATACCTAATTTCCAACAAAAGCAAAAGAGTGAATTAAAACAAATATTAAATATAATTTGCAAAATCTAGAAATATATAAATGTCTTTGTGATAAAAAGTATATTAATTCTCAAATTTATACTAAAGAGCAGATATATTATTGGGTTTCTGTTTTTAGTAAGGAAACTTATATTATGGACTATTCAAATCAGCTTTTATCATCAAAAGCATATATTGAACAACAAGAATTTATAAAAAAAGAATATAAAGTAATTTACTATCAAGAAAATGACTTTATAAAAGCTCTTGGATTTATAACACCAATGCTTAATCGTATTGGTATTAAAAATATAACTGAAATTGTTGTAGATTCAACATTCAAAACAAACCAAGAACGTTTTGAACTTTTTGTTATAAATGCTAATTATGGTGGATATGGTGTTTCTTTAGCATATCTTTATTTTCTAACACTTGATAGTAATGAATTGGCACTTAATGATCCCAAAAATAAAATTTACACAAGAACACAAGTTTTGTGTGAATTTTTTAAAAATTTTTGCCAAATTGGTCTGTTTTCAGTATTTGCACTTGTTGATAAAGATGCTGGAGAAATATCAGCAATAAGTAAAGCATGGTCATAAATTATCAATATTCAGTTATGTTGCTGGCATCTTGAACATACTATAAATAGATGTCTAAAAGATAAAAAACCAAAATCAGTTGGATATACTAAAACAAAGGCCACTGAAGCATATCAACAATTCAAATTTATTGACCCTACTGGATACCAAATATAACTACAAGAGTTCTATGTCCAGAAGAATCTGTTAAAGAATTTTTAGAAATCATAAAAAAACATTTAAATATACACCCCCTAATACTAGTAGCTAAAAATATATTTTGGAATTCTGCTGCTATTTATCACAATTGTGTAGAAGAAGCCTATAAATTTTGCTATAATAAAAAACTTGATAAATTTTGGGGCTATTTATGGGCAAATTGGTACAAAAAAAAAGATTGAAAACTTTTTGCCTGTTCAGCATACTTATCAGCTATACCATTAGCACAAACTACTATGATTACAGAAAGCCATTGGTGGGTTCTTAAATATAATTACAAGTATAATTATAACTGGCCATGGCTTGATCACCTTACCTAAATTCTTATAACACATCTAATACCTAATTTTGAATTCAAATTAGATCAATTTGATGGTAATAGAACCTTTCCAGCATGGTGAATTGGTTTCAAATGAGATTGGGACAAAGCATCACTCACAGAAGTTTGATCAGATATGAATAAAATATATCATGTTGATATTAATGACTGGGTATACTCATGTTTTGCATACTTATAAAGCCGTTACCTCATTTGCAAACATCTCATAACCAAAATAAATGGCACTCATTTCTGGCCTATCTTCATAGAGACAATATGTAGACATGATCATCCTTTAATTGTTTTTGGAAAAGACAAAGTAACAATGATTGATCTAATAAACAACCCTTGGTTTAGACATGAGATGATTATGATAAATAATTCTAATAATGAAGAATGTACTAGCACTACTCACCTTAAAAATGCATCAGTAATAGTATAGTACAATGTTATTAAAGAGAGACAAGAAAATCTATCTAAATATAAAAAATTAATGGAAAGGGCATTAACATTATATGAAAGAGAGATAGATAATCATAACTTTATAAATGCTTTTGATAACTTAATAAAGCTATTAGTTAAAGAAATTAGTGAATGTCAGGATTTGCTACAAGCCAATAGGCAACAAAAAACATGGCAGAAAAGTGGAAAACTTGCATTTTGGTTGCGCTAATTTTTGTTTAGAAAAATAAATCTGTAATAGAAAAAAGTTTCTTTATCAATTCCTAATTTCTAACTTTTTAAGCTCTATTATTGAAAAAATCATAGTTAAAAAACTTCACTTATCCTTAAATCTTTTATCATGTCCTAATTTTTTTAGTTAAAAAAAATTTTTTGAGTTTTTATTACCCAATTTTTATTTTTTATTGTATATAAATAAGTTATAAGCATGGTTTTTTTACCAATCTCCAAAGTTTATCAAAGATTAAAATAGATCGTTCTATAGCTCAAAAATATATAAAATACTAAATAAAACTGAAATAATAGTTAAAAAGATCAAATAATTTTTTTTCTTGAAAAACATGTAATTTTACTTTGAGCTTATTGAGAAATTGTTTGATGTTCCAGTATAGGTATGATTATTGAATATTAATTGAGCAAGATGCGAAAGATTTTGGATAATAATAGTAAAGCAGTTCGTATAATGCAAAAAAGTCATGTACATTTTTGATTGGTTGTAGTATAGATCTACAAATGTTCAGGTCAGATGTCAAGTCGTAGGTGCCAGAACTCACATGACCCGATACTTCATTTTTACCATGGCTAGGGTATTATTCGGTCACATGATAATGTGTTATTTCTGCTACCACTAATCTACTATACGATATACTCCCTTCATTTATTATAGTTCATCAATTAAAAATAACAATTTTTATAATTTTTTATTTAATAATATAACTTACTATACCATACTTAAATAAAAATTTTAAATTTTTTAGTTACAAAATAACTTCTTTGCTAAAACAAAAAGCTTTTTTTTTGTGTAATATTTTATGATAGGATTTTTGAAATCTGTGCTAAGCTAAATATAAAAGATGTGTATAATAATATGAAATGCCAAAATAGTATAGTAAAAAGTGTAGAATACGTATCTATTTAAAAACCATATACAGTCTTCCCCCCATACAATCACCTCCTATATAATTACAAACTCTATATAATCACATGATTTTGTACGTGTATTTTTTTTAATATTAAAAATACCTTTATATAATCACAATCATAGTACTATTACTATCACATTTTTTAAAAAAGTTTTTTTACCAATTTATTAATAAAATTACCTCTTTAAATCACAAATTAATAAAAA